GAGTGAATGCTCTGATATTTGGGAACATTTTAGTCACTTTCTCCTCCCTGGGACAAAATACACAACCCTTGCAACTGAAGGAAGGAGAAATTTAACTTTGTTCACTGTTTTCAGAGGATTTAGTCCGCGGTCAACCAGCTCCAACCCAGAAAAGGCAGAGTGGAAGAGCCCATCCGAGGAAAGCTGCTCATATCAAACAGCAAGGAGCAGAGAGCCCAGGAAGGGCCTAGGGATGGCGATGACCCTTTCAGGCCACACCCCCAGTATTGTTCTCTTCTTTCTGCACCTTCCAGCAGGACACTGGGCCAGGAACTCTTCTGTGTAATAATCTACCACGAATACTTTATGCCCAAAAGGCAGGCATCCTTGAAAAACCCCACCTCTGAACATGGAAAGGTGGGGCAAATTCTAGATTTAAAGCATAACAGGAACTGACTTGAATGCTTATTTTGCACTAATAAGTTAAATTATCGGCCTGTCCAAGCTTGAAGAAAAGAAAGAATAATTTTTATGCTAGCGAGTATTTTTTGAGCCCTTAAATTATATACAGATATATACATGTACTTATTCTGCCCCCCAAGTCTAGACACTTAATTCAGACATTATATATCAGGGCCTTAGCCCAGAGAGTTCTAGTGTAGTGTTATTTGGTCAATAAACAAAGAACATAAATATTAAATAAAATCTAACTATTAGTGAAATGTATGAGATACGTATTTTAATTATGACATAACCAGATGAACTGTTAGCTATGATGAATAAAATTAAATTTTAAAGTTACACAGCAAATGCATGCTCTCACAATGAAGCAGCTCTCTTCAAAGTATTTCTTCCTAACCATCTTAAGATTCATGCTTTGTTTTAAATTCTCCTTCCTCACTCTGCCATTGCTGTGTCCTCCCAAGCAGATATATTCGTAGAGAAGATCCTTAGCATGGCAGGGTGTGGACTAGCCCGCCTGGGGGCTGCACTAACATTTTCCACAGAAGGAGCCAATCCAAAAGGACCTGACTTTTCCCAGGTCTGCAGATAAGACAGTTGTATATTCTCAGTATTTACTTTTAAAACAAGTACAAAAAGTAATTAGTACCTTGAAAGTAGAAGACCTGACAGATTAAACTTTCCATGCTGATTTCCTCAGGTTAGAGAAGTTAAATGTGGGAGAAACCGTTAGCCATCATCATAGACAGTCTTCCTCCTCCTCCAACGGGCCGATCTCCCAGAGCCCGGTCGCAGGTGATGACTTCCTCCACCTCCCCCTCTGCCTCTGAGTCCCTCAGGATAACAGGGGACCCAGTCCAACGCTGCCCAGAGAGGCCAAAGTGAACTGCGGCTGGCCCTTGCGATTGTTCCTCACTTGACACAGGACAAGAATGAGTCAAATGCTTATGTGACAATTGCTCTTCTTCCTGTTTCTATTTTCCTGTAACCCTAATATTGTGTGCAGTGAATATGTTCAGATATAAACAATATCCAAAGCCTAATTTTGAAAAGTGAGCTTTGAAATGACTAAGAAGTGATTCTAGTTAGAAGACTTATTAAAGTGTATTGTAAAGTAGAATTTAGTAGTTCCTTTGGTGCCCACATTTTAAATCCCTAATGTTCACAGGGTGCAGTGAGCGCCTTGTTTAAGTAATGGGAATTCTCAAATCTAAGGATCAAAGTAAGGGAAGAAGCAGGACTTTAAAATTACAAGTTTATTTAGTGATAACTCAAATAGACTTGAAATCATATATTCCTTTGAAAAATTAATATACAATGATACTTGCCAAATGGATTAGTTAAATGATATTATTTCCATCACAAAAAGTTTCTTCTCCTTAGAAAAAAGTGTTCTTCAGAACTATATTTTGAATATATAACTTTAAAATGGAAATCTATTAAAATGCAATTTTATTTATAAAAATTAGATACATATAGCTTTTCAGAAACACACCACAAAGGAGACATAGTTTGAAAGGCAACAGTGTAAAGAAGGGAATCTTACACATAGGCCTTGTTGTCTTTGAGACCGAATCCAATCAAGTTCTGATTATATGACTCAAAACCTCAAAATGCTTAAGCCTCAAGGTACTTCATCTTCAAAATGACAATTTCTCTAAAGATCCTTATCTTTAAAATAACCCCTACCTTATAGTATTAGCACAATGATTACAGTGAAAAGTTAAAACATGTATGTGAGAAACTTTTAGTCCAATTCTCAGAACAGTCTAATAATTTTTTTTGCAGTTTAAAAGCCTTTTGGGGGAATCTCATGAAGCTTTTGTTTGTATGGGGTATACTCATTGGTATTTTCCATATAACAAGTAAAAACTAGGAAATGTTTTTATTCAGTTTTAAAATAATAAATTGAAAATAATAAACATGCTGTTAACATACATAGGTTTAGGGAAAAATTTCTCTTTTCCCAAATGAAATAAAATATTTTAGTGAGAACACTATAAGTTCGATTTTATGCATTTCCAAATTTCCTGAAGTCTGACCTAAGTCAGCTCCGCTATCCTGTCTGCACCTGCTCTGGACCTGTTGTACTGTCCCAGGTCACAAAGTCACTGGAAAATGCCACTGAGCACTCAGGGGACAGTAGAATTAAAATGGTTATGACTTAGCATTCTTAGGTAAGATCTCTGTAAGGACTAAGTCTTTCAGCCCACTTTAATCTGCAATAGTAGCCTAAATTCATCATTCAGTTGCCTGCTCATCCACAGTCTCTTTATACTATATTGGAAAAGAAAGATGAAAATTTATCATATCTGGATAATGATACACGTTGAGCAAGAAAAGGTTTATAAGTAATATCACCCTTCCAAAACAAAAAATGTTATGGAGGGCCGGGGATTTAGCTCAGTGGTTCAGGCTTTCCAACGCCTGCCTTGAAAGCACAAGGTCCTGAGTTCGATCCCCAGTAACCAAAAAAAAAAAAAATGTTATGGAAAAATGTGTCCACATTATATTATTAATTCCATTTAGAAATAGAAACTAATATATTTCTAGCTCTACAAAATAAGACAATTCTTCATTGTACAAATGAAATATAATTGAAGTGTCATTTTAATTTATTAGCTTTAACAAAGTTAATTAAATCTGTTATGGTACTTAAATAAAAATAGTAGTCAACAATTAGTAGACCGGTACTGTAATAGAGTTCCAGGATACATGTTGGAAATATTGAATAAGATGAAAAAAATTTAACAATAATTGGATAGTGTTAGCATCCTTTAGAAATTGGATAATTTGGTTATTTATAAGGCTGGATTTTCAAGGTTCTGAAATGTGTTTTTTCTTGCTTGTTTGAAAACCCAAGCCCCAAAACCAGGCATTTTCAAATGAGATTTGGCTTTGTTGTTTCATATATTTAACTTGTTTGATTTACCGTACTATTTCTAACTAGAAAGTGATTATTTTGGCACAGTTGAATCATTCCTAATAACTTTTTTAAAAATAGCTTCATTATCAAACACACACACATACAGAAATTAAAACCATTCAAAGAAGAACAATGCAAGGGGAAAAAACTACAATAATATTCAAATACAGTAGAACTCAACCAAAACAAAACTGAAAAGCACTTAAACATTTTTCCATATAATTTAAAAAAGCATCTCAAGCACCAACAAGATGCCAGAGGATGTGGTTTGTTTCAGAAAGATCCCCAAAACCAACACTGAACAAATAGTGGTCTGGAAAAAAACTCCAGTTAGCTAGCATATTTTACATAAGCCAAACTTCTCCCTAATTTAAATTTCAATACAGTCATATGACATGCTATGGAAACACAATCTGAGAAATCTGTTATTAGACCATTTCATCCATGTGTATCCTTAAATACACTTTCAGTTTCTCACACTAGAGAAACTTTGGTATTTACACATGTGTGTCCTATTTATTTCACTTAAGAGGATGGCCTCAATATGCATCCATTTAGCCATAAATGTCTCTATTTTCTGGTTCTTTATGGCTGACTAGTACTCCATTTTCTAAAAAAAAAAAACCACATCTTCTTTATCCAGTCTCCAGTTGATGGGCACTTGGGTTGTTTCCAAGCTTTAGCTATTACAAACTGTGCCGCTATAAACATGGGTGCACATATATCACTGTGGTATGATTCTTTTAATTCTTTGGGGAAGATCCCCAGCAGAGGAATAGCTGGGTCAAATGGGTCAAACTCTAAGCTGAGTTCGAGGTATCTCCATACTGTTTTCAACAGTGGTTGCACCAGTCTGCACTCCCACTAACAATGGAGCAGGGTTCCTTTCTCCCCACACCCCCGCCAGCATTTGTTATTGGTTGATTTCTTGATAGCAGCCATTCTTTGTGGGGTGAGGTGGAATCTCAGTGGTGTTTTCATCTGCATCTCTTGAATGACCAGTGACATTGAACATTTTTTCGTATGTTTATTTGCTGCTTTTACTTCTTTGTCTGAGAAATGTCTGTTCATTTCAGATGCCCATTTTTGAATTGGGTCTTTGAATTTAGGGGCTCCTAATAACTTTTAAGCTAACGTAGTGTCTTTGATGTTCTAGAGGAGTTGTGCCCTATTTCATACCTATGCTAGCTGCATTGAAAAACTGAGGAATCAGTATTGCACAAAAAGGAAAAATGAATCTATTTAAAAATACAAAATATTCATATTATGAAATAACATTTATAATGTATGGAATTTTATCCTTGTTGCCAACTGGGCCATACCCTAACAAATGATTTGATTGCAAATTTGGCAAAAATCACATATATATTGAAGTTTCCAGGTGAAAGAAGGAATATCATGTTAATGTTAATATATTCTTCCACAGCATTTCTGAGGCAACAATATGTCACACTTTCTAGTGGTGCTATTGTCCTGGAAGTTGTTTTCTTGGTATCCAGATGCTCTGAGGAAAAGAACCAACACCTCCAGGGTTTTGTTGTTGTTGTTGTTTTGCTTTTTATAGAAGAGAGCTGCTAGTTTCAATAGAAAGGCTCAGCGAATAACCACTGAGAAGGTGTTCTCCTTCCCCTAGGTTCTCCGCAGCAATAGCCTGCTGGAGTCCACAGACTACTGGTTACAGAATCAGAGGACGCCCTGCCAGATTGGTTTTGTGGAAGACAAGTCAGAAAACTGTGCCTCTGTAAGTATACAGAATTCTAAGCAATATTGGATAAAGCGAGTCAAAGTGGCACAGGTATCTGAGCTTAAAACAGAAATTTCATAATTTATTAAATACAAGATTTGGAAAGTATTGGTTTGAAAATTTATAACTAGTTTATGTGGACTGTTAATAGGGTAATACAGAGCTAATGTTTTTATTTCAGCTTTGCTCGTTTCAACATGTATGTTAATCTGATCAATTCTCTGAAAAGAAGATGTATTTTTAAAAAGTGACTAAGAAAAAATACATAAATAGAATTGTACCTTGAAAAAAATTTTAAATGCATTCATCAACTCTCTTGGATTGTTTTTAATATATTTTATAACACTTGCTGTAGGCATTTTCCAATATGAAAATTGCAAATATTTTCCACCATCCTTAAGAGTTACAGCAATTATTTGAAAATCCTTTCAGCCTAAGAAATAAACAGGCATGCATTTTAATACATTGGAACACTGCTTTATATATAAAATCTTTCTTTGCAAGGGAAGGGATGTTCTTATAGATAAACAATATAATTCTCACAGCTTAGACTAAAAATATATACTTTTGATGTAAATATGCACCTTCCTACACATTCTGCCCAGCTATATGTTTCATTTTCATTAAAATTATCTGCCTCTTATGGGGTCCTGATTACAGAGATTGGAGGGAGTACTTTCAAAAAGGAGAAAAAATATAATGTAATTCTCTTTACGAAATTGAGAGCATCAGCTCTGAGCTATTCCTGGAGGTAAGTTGTGTGCCAGTACTCTTGTTAGAAGAAAAAAAAAGAAGCTGAAAATGGGATAGGAAGGCTTTTTAAATATACCAAACAGATATATACCTTGCAGACAGGGGATGTGAAATATTTCACAGAGGAGAGTTTCACAGCACAAGGATTGAGTAGTCCACTCAACACTCTTAAGTGAATCTCTTTCTTTAGGCTACTGATTATGATTCTGTGACTTTTAGTACTTTTGATCACTTTCCCAGAAAACTAATTGCTGGCTAAAAACCTTTGTAGAAAACAATTAGGATTAAGTGGCAAGTAATTTAACAATAATACCTTCTTTGCAAATTCAACTCTGAAGTGAGTAGGAAAATTCAGGCACTTGCTGATGCAGATATCCAATTACTGAGCTATAAAATGCAAAATAGGAGGAAATGGAAACTACAAGTTATGAGTGGTCACACTTTGATCAAAGTTATCATCCAAACAGTTTTTAAATTAGTCTTCCACTTGAAGAACACACACAAATTGAGATAGTGAACAGTTTTCTAAAATCAATTCTCCACATCATCATGAAAATGAAAATTTATTTTAAAGGAAAATAAAAAGGTCACATTTTTAACAGTGTCTTCATAAAAGCTTAATTTTTAAAAATAGTGTTTTCAAATCATTCCAAATCCAAATCTACTTTAAAAAAATCTGAGGAACCCATAGCAATACTAACCTATACTTTATTGCTCTATAATTTATTCATAACTCTGGGAAACCCTACTCTAAGTTAATTGCTGCTGTAACTCATTTTTGCATGACCAAAATTAGTAGCCACCTTTTCATATCCAGTTGAAATCAGTTTCATATTTATTTCAATTAACTCCAAGTATTTAGATTTGTGGTTTCTTAAAACTGAGTACCTCAGTGTGCCAGTGTTTTCTGAATTTGAGGTATCTATTTGAAATTTTTTTTGAGGGATGACCTCAGAATTAGAAAACACTCAGGATGTTATGTTCATATCTCAGTACAACTGGTTTATTTTCAAGCACCAAGCCATGAATTTTATTTCTTCAGCATGGAACCTCCTCCATTCCTCATCTAATATGAAGAGTCTTAGTGAAGGCCAGTTTGAAGCAGACAGAAATATGATAGGCACTCCACATATAAGCCACTGTCCCAGGGAAACCCTTGAACTCAAACTTCCAATCGTTTTTCAGAGGGTATCTAGTATGAAAACTGTGTTTACATTTTCCAAAATATAAAGTTCTCTTGTCAAACAATATAATACTATTTTCCTTCTAATATTTCCATTTGTCAAAAAAATAATACTCATATACTAACCTTCAAGGTATTTTTTTTTTGTTCTTTAGGTTTTATCGTTTTTGGTTTTTGTCTGTGGATTTTTAGACCTAATTATTTAAGGAAGAAATGTAGAGGAGGGTAATGGAATTGGAAACCAAACTCCAAAACCTTGATAGCCAAGGTATTATTTTAATATTTTTAATATTTTAATATTAGTAATGGGAATTAGATTTCTCATTGCTGTTGACCTTTTTTTACCTTTTTTAAAATTAAAAGCTAAATTAGTCTTTTTAAATTCTCTACTGAATTGTGCTATTTACTGGAAATTGGTTTTTGATTTTTCAGGAATCATCTTTTGGTTTAATGCTTCATTAACATTGCTTTGACTATGTTATTTCCACTCTTAATTACTGTCAGATTCTTTTCCACATTGATCATTTTAAGACACCCAAACAAATTATTTTCTGTTCATAGCAGGTACTTTAGTTGATGAATCACAGTACTTTTAAATGTTATATTTGTCTTAAAGATATAAATAAGTACATCAAGCTCTCAAGAGACCTTCAACATTACACTCATGAAAAATAATAAATTGAACAGCTATTCTGTAGGTCTCACATGTTAATGCTACTCAAAGGAAAAAAATAAGAAAATCTTATATGACTGACTTTTATTTTATATTTTCTCCAAATATATTTCTCCTCTATCTCAATCTTAGAAAAAAAAAGCCTTATCAATAGTCTCAGTTCATAAGGTTTTATATGGAAAAATCTAGACTCACATGACCAAGGAAATTCATAATTGTAGAACTGTGAAGGGATATTGTAACTACCTTATCGATAGATTTACCAAGTTTTCAAGCAAATTTCTTGTTTTTTCTTTAAATAATCAGGTGAGAAATTTATTTTTAGGTCTTTAATTTTAATTGCAGGAAACATGATACTAAGCATTGTCAGTTTTCCCAAGTGATCATGTTTTACCACCTTTGCTATAAAAGTGTGTTAAACAGGACATGCTTATAGACTGAGTAAAGGAAAGAGAAATCAAGAATCACTCCACTGATTTTTGAGTTGATCTCTTAGGTGATTGGGAATGTCATTTACTGTAATGGGGACTAAGAGAGGAAGGAAGGGGATGCGGAGATGCTTAATCGCGTCTCTTCGTGTCATACAACTAGAGAAGTCAACAGGTGGTTGGGTGTGCAAGTTGGAGTTATTGGAGAGATTCAGACAAGAAGTATAGATTGGGTGTCTTCAGAGTGGTCCTCAGAAAGCCGAGATCAACCCAGCTAGGGGCGGTGTAGACAGAGAAGGGGCTTGTGCTGAGCTCTGGTCACTCAACAAGGCTCCTGATTAATGAACTGCATGTCTCATGGTCCCAGAGGTAGCAAAAGATTAATATTTGAGCATGGAAGCCTGAGTCTCACACAGATACTAACATTTTATGAATCTTGACATTGTTGCTACTAAAAATACCATTCAATGAATAGTGTGCTTTTAAAGCCTGAGTGTTTGCACCATTTCTCAGCTGTTTTAATTCATTTTGACAGAAGAATATATTATGAAAATAGTTCAGAGTAAATTCAAGTTCCAAATTGTCAACACTTCCTTCTATTATAGCAATTATTCTCTGAGGAGGAGAAAGCCCATCAATCACAGAAAACCAGCAACAGTAAATAATTGATCTTATTAAAATACCTTTAAACTTGAAAGACACTGATTACAAAATTTTTTATTTCCTTTTAATAGAACTATTTGCTTGACTAACCTATCTTTCCTATTCAGTTCTTCTAAATTCCCAGGAAAATGAGTTAGGTTTTGTTTTTTTTTTTTAACTTAGATTCTCAAGGTAAATTATCAGTATGTATATATAAAGAAAGTGGTGAGCTTAGTTAATGACTGCCACGGGATATCTTTTTTTTATCTGTAGTTGCTGGAGTATTAATATACTCTTTTGTAATAATGATACAAATTTGCTCTGAAGGCTTATTAAGAAATGAGAAAATACTAAAAGAAGAAGCAGAATTTCTGTCCTTCCGTATTTGATATTATACTTTCTTTTAGCTCAGAGAGAGTCCTCACTTTATATCATAGACATCGCTTGACTTGTTGTCTGGTTCATGGTGCCTGTAATGTTGGAGGTATTTAATTGGAGTATCTGGAAATGTTCAATATACTTTACAGAAGCATCTGAAGTGGCTGGATGGAGTGAAGGAAAGTTTGGCCCTTGCTAAGTTATGCCTCAGGTTTGGTTTAACAGAATCTTTAAGCAGAAAGCTTAGGTCAGCAGTAACCAGGGTAATTTTAATAGGCACCCAGGAGTGAATTCTTAAAAAAACAAGGTGTCTCACCCTTATCTCTTTTGAAACATTGGGCTGAATAATTCCTTGTGCATAGACTAGCCTGTGCATTGCAGAATGTTGTGTAACATCCCCAATCTCTACCCACTAGGGGCTAGTAGTAACCCCTCTCCAAATTATGACAAACAAAAATGTTTGCAGACATTTCCAGTGTCTCCTGTATATGGATAGGAAGTGGGGAAGGGGAGAGAAGTGGCATAAAATCATATCCTGTTGTGAATTAGTGCTATAAATTTTCTCAGACTTTAGCCTCTGGTCACCAGTGAGGTGACCCAGTCCAACATTATGTGCTTTACCCCAAGCCACACCTCACCCTTCCATAGTCATAGAAGGAAAACATACAATTCACTCCTCTATAACAGTTCCTGTCCATGTGGTGCTGTCATCAAAAGCCACCTGTACCAGGAAGAAGAAGTGAAAAACTTCAAGAGACAGTCAAAATCAATTTAAGGTACCTGCATTTAAACCATGATTCATTAATTTACTGCTGTTGCATTTGCTACCAAATAGAATTCAGTACCCCTGGAACATCCCAGATCACCTAGTTCTATACTGAGATGTACTGCCTTTATTTATAATTTATTTTGTTTCTTTTATCAGACATAATGCAATTGT